CCAGGGATAATGTCATTCATGGCTGTGCATTTAATGGGCAGTTTTATGCCATTGAGTCTAAAAGCTCTGCCTCCCACTCACACCTCTCCTGAGTGTCACTGCCTGCTGGACAACTACACTTAGATATTGCATACATGACTCAAGCTCAACATGTCAAAAACTGAACTCATTTTCCTTCCCTTCTCCATTCACCACTGCTGTTCCCCAAACCCACTCTTCTTGGGTATTCTTATCTTGGTAAATGTACTACTATTCACCCACCTGCACAGAACAAAACAGGCATCATTCTTAACATCTTCATATCTCTTACCAGTACAGTTAACATCAAGTCCCTTCCAACTCACGGCAACCCCATGTTTGTCAGAGTAGAACTGTGCTCCATTGGGCTTTCCCTGGATGATTTTTTCAGAAATAGATCACCAGGCTTTCCTTCCAAGATGTCTCTGGATGAACTTGAACCAACATCCTTTCAGTTAGCAGCCAAGATTATTAACCATTTGCATCACCCAGAGGTTCCCCAATCTCTTACATGAATTCAGTTATCAAGTTCTGTCTCCCTAATGTTTCTTATTTTTGTCCTGTCCTTATTAGTTCTGTTGCCACCATCCTTATCCAAGACACTTGTTCTGCAGTATCCTCTTCACTTCTCCCCAGGCCACCACTTCTAACTCTATCCCTTCCATTTTCTATACTACCACTAGAGTCAGCTTTCTAAAATATGCTTCTGATCTTGTCCCCCATCGCCCTCACTAAAATCCCTTCAATATGCTTCATATCCCCTAGCATTGCCCTTCTTCCACCTCCACCCACCTCTTCAGAATCCTCTATGCCATGTTGCACTTCAACAGTCCAGCAACACCAGAACTCTTTCTACCTTTTCAAAGTATCTAGCCTTCACCCACTCTCTTCCTTCTTTTTCTTTTCTTGTATAAATCTTAAGACTTTCATCATTCATGTCTCAGCTTAAACCCCACAGTTTCTTAAAGGCCTTTGCCTGACCTGGACCTAAGAATTGATGTCATCTGCACTCTCCTACATCTAGTGTTTCCCCTAGCCTAACTCTCACCACATTTTATTGTAATTATTTGCTTTTCCATCATCTCTGTTTAACTGAGTCCATGGCTGTGTTTGGGTGCCTCTGTGTCTCCAGGGCCAAGTAGAATAATGCCCACATAGTAATGCTGAGCAGAGGTCTACCAGGGGAACAGTAACATTAGGGACATCTGCACACCTGAGAAAAATCAGCCATTTGAGATGAAAAGGGCAGCATTTGCCCCAAGGACAAAGTTCAGAAGGCAGGAAGCGTTAGGAAAGAAGGAGGAATGGAAATGAGAAACACAGGGAAGAAATGGGATGAGTGATGTT